GATTCGAAGAGTGACGAGTCGACATCGCTTTTATGAGCAGTCCCCCCTTCGATCATCACACGATCGAGATCGAGATCTCACCTCACGTCATCCGGCACTCTCCATAAACTACCACTTCAAGGTTCAAGCCACTCCCCGCCACCTGCCCAAACAGTGCTCAATAATACCCGCCCTCCAAGCTTCCCTTCGCGACACTCCCAGCGACAACACTCCCGCTCGTTCCAATGGTCAGTCCCCCCTCTCCCATTCACCCCATCTCTCACACTCTCCCAACAGCCAGAAGAAAAATCAGCACCCGCAAACTCCATGAAGGAGCTCAAAATCGACAAGCTCGGGGGGGAGTACGTCCCCCTCCCTCCCATACTCCCTCCCCTCATCCTCCCCACAGACATCTCAGTGGGCGAATCCGGTGATCGTCTCACAAGAGCCTCAAAGGTCCTCGAACAGCTCACAGGTCAAACACCCGTCACCTCAAAAGCCCGCTACACCGTCCGCACGTTCGGCATCCGTCGTAACGAAAAAATCGCTGTTCACGTCACCATTCGCGGCCCAAAGGCAGAGGAGATCTTGGAGCGCGGCTTGAAAGTAAAGGAGTACGAGCTCCGTCGTCGCAACTTTTCAGAAACCGGCAACTTTGGCTTTGGCATTCAGGAGCATATCGATCTCGGTGCCAGGTATGACCCTGGTATCGGTATCTTCGGTATGGACTTTTACGTCGTCATGGGCAGACCGGGTGCCAGAGTCGCAAGGAGGAAGCAGAAAAAGGCCAGAATCGGCTTCCAGCATCGTGTCAGAAAGGACGACACCATGTCTTGGTTCAAGCAGCGTTTCGACGGTATCATCCTCGTAAGCATCTCTCCTCACTTTCCACTTCCCCTCCTAACCGTCTCCCAGAAATAAACCACTCCGCACCCCATCGCATGTCTTATGCACCTTTTGACTACTTATTCCTCTTTTGGGATCTATGTCCCCGCATGCTTTCTACAATCCAAAAAAATGCACTTTGACACCACCCGTCGCCTGAGCTCATTAACGTCTGATCACAAATCTCCAAACATCACTCACTAATCTCTACTTTACGCGTCACAATCGTCTGCATACTTTCAATCCAAAAAAATGCACTGACATCGCCATCTGCCGTGAGATCAGTCTGATCAGAGCGTCGGCGCAAGTCTACGATCATTCACTAATTCTTAGCGCAACCCAATCCTTGCCTATACACGTGCGCATGCCATCGTATCATATATATCGTCTGCACGAAACAAAGTAGTACTACAGCGTACCACTGTATGGCACACCATGCAAAAAAAAAAAAAAAAAGCACAAGTGTAAAAGATGAAAAACACGGTACAAAAATATAAGGAAACAGGAGAGAACAATAAACATGTCATTCAGTTCGTTCAATTCGACTCTAATCACCCCCATCCGCCCCTCCTTATCGCATTTTTAGTAAACGACTTTACGAACGCGTGTTATGCAGCTGGAATGTTCAAATTGATCTCTTCCAACAGCTCTTGCGCCATTTTCGCATTGGAGACCTACACCCCAAACAGCAAGCGTCAGACAACTCCACTTCCCAGCACGCAGTGCAGCACCGCCACGACGCGAAACGCGAAAGGGGCGAAAGTGGCAAGAACCAAAGAAGAAACTCACCCTCAGATTATAATGCGTCGTAGCCCCGTCCTCGATCACGCTAAACCGGAGATATCGCGGGTCCTGCGCAATGAAACACTTCATCCCCGAGAACAGCGTCACATTCAATATCACCGTATACACCGCTTCCTTCCTCATCACTACCAAAAAAAAAAAAACCCCAAAAAGTCAGCCCAGCGCATCCCACTCACCCTTCGTCGTTCTTTCGCCAGGGAAAGTATAGCAGGGGGGGAAAGAGAGAGAGAAAGAAACCCACCAAGCCTCGCCCCACCCCCATCCGACTGCCTCACATTCAGCTTCAACGTCCCCGTCCCCCGCTCCCTCCACTGGTTCTGCGAACACAGCGAGTACAACTTCCCCCTCACCTGATGCACCGTCTCCTCCTCCTCCTCCCCCGTCTGCACGCTCTGCTCAGTCAACATCACCTTCCCGTCCTCTTCCTCCTCCCTCCCTTCGTCCCCGTCCCTCTCCGCGCGCAGCTTTTCGCCAAAGGTGGCTTCGCGGTCGGGCTCGTGCTCAGGCTCGCGGTCGCGATACTCGCCCGAAGCGTCTTCACCCCCACTCCCTCCCGCTCCCCAACATCCTTCCCCTCACACCACGACTCGTCAAAAACTTCTGCCCGCAGGCTGGAACTCCCTCGACTTCAGAGAAGACCCGCTTCTAGGGGATTCGGCCTTTGAAGT